CATGGAGCGTTGGCAACTGCGTACAGGCCACATTTTACAACTACGAAAAATGAAAGTTTTAAAATAAAAACTTAAAATATCACAGAAAATGTACAGAAGATTTTACAAACCATGAGAAAAATAAAGAACACAAACTTCATATACCTAACAGATGAAGAGTGGGAGACCGAAAATAATCAAATCAAATAAAAAGGTCTAACCTGCGAGAGTGCCTCTGTTTGTTCTCTCATTTAGAACTTAATAATATAATATTAATAATTATAATGGTTTATTACTATGTACCTTCAATGAGAAACTCTTTTTACCCCGTTCTTTCATTTCAGCGTTTGCAGAATTTTTGGAGCATATACTGAAGCAGTAAACATCAGTTATTGTGCCATATTTTTCTCTCTTTTTTTTTTTGTTGCACAAATGCCTTTTTATAAAAACGTAACTTCCTGCTGTTTACAAACATTACATCTGGTTGTTATTATGTTTCTTTGATAAATACTGTACAAAAAAAAAGTCGATTGCAATAATAAAACATTTGCTTCACTCTCCCCCCGTTTTTCTACTTTTCCAAATCGCATACACCTTCTGGAATTAAAAACAAAAACAAAAACGCAAAGCAAATAAAGGCAAAGAAAAAAAAAGAACAACAGAACGACAAACTGTGTGGAGTTCCTACCGTTCCTTTTTAAATAGAAAGCAAAAGTTTTGTGTTCTTTCCTTGAGCTCTATACAACTTTCCCCTCCCCCAAAAAAGTGTTCTGTACAAAAATAGTCCAAAGGAGTCCAGCAGTGTAGAAAAGTTCTTTTTTTTTTTTTTTTTACATGTGCGATAGTGGGATCGTGCCGTTAATCGTCGTGCCGGGCACAGGCGCGCTCTGGTAGTGCTGGGACATGTGCAGTCTGCTCTGCGCGCTCTGCTCCTGCACCTCGGCCCCGGGCAGGTACATACTGATCATGTCCCGCAGGTCCCCCGTTTGACACTGTCCGGCCCGGGAGTGAGAGGACGACGTGACCACCGGCGGACTCGAACTGGACTCGGACTTGACCACCGAGCCCATGGAGCTCAGCGTCATTCCCGGCGTGCTTTGCTGCGAGTAGGACATGCTGTAGGTGGGCGATCCGTTCATGTAGGTCTGCGAGTTGGTCATGGAGTTGTACTGGAGCGCGCTCATGTCGTAGCGGTGCATGGACTGCATCTGCGCCGTGTTGTGCGCGTTGAGCCCCGGGTGCTGCGGGTAACCGAGCTGCTCCTGCATCATGCCGTAGCCCCCGTTGGTCCAGCCGTTCATGTGCGCGTAACTGTCCATCCGCTGGTTGACCCCTGCGCCCAAGCCGGCCCCTACACCCACACCGGCGCCCATGCCGTTACCGCCCGGCGCCAGGAGCCCGCCCGGCAGGGTGTACTTGTCCTTCTTCATGAGGGTCTTGGTTTTCCTCCGGGGTCTGTATTTGTAATCCGGGTGTTCCTTCATGTGGAGAGCCCGAAGGCGCTTGGCTTCGTCGATGAACGGCCGCTTCTCGCTCTCGGACAGAAGTTTCCACTCGGCCCCGAGTCGCTTGCTTATTTCCGAATTGTGCATTTTGGGGTTCTCCTGTGCCATTTTCCTCCTCTGGCCCCGCGACCACACCATGAAGGCGTTCATGGGTCTCTTGACCCGGTCCGGGCTGTTTTTCTGGTTGTTTCCTGAGGAGTTGGTGTTCCCCGTGCCCCCCGTGTTGGGCTGAGGCGCCGGGGGCTTCAGCTCGGTTTCCATCATGTTGTACATTTAAAAACGAGTTTAGGAAAGTCTTCCCCACCAGCAGTTAAAAAACAAACAAACAAAAACTAAAACAAAAAGTCCAAAAAGTGGAGGCAGCTGAAGTTACCTTAGCAGTTCTGGTAACTTTGCTGAGGAAGTAAAGCGCTATTAGGTCCTGTTGGTTTCCACAAACTTCTTTTCTCAGTCTTGAGGAATCGACACAAACTCGGTTTCCCTCCTCGCCAGAGCCCTTGTCAACTCCTGATACTTTTTGAACAAGTTAATAGACAACCATTCATAGAGCGACTGTCAGCGAATATAAATGGGTTTGTCGCTGACCAATCAGAGCGCGACTGCTCCCTCAGCCACGACTGTGTGTCTCTTGGATTTGCATAAAGGGGCGGGGTTACGCGCGGTCAGCAGTGCAGCGCTGAGCCACAGGCAGCACTTCTCCACCAATGAACACTGTGCGTGCGTGTGTGTGTGTGCGCGTGCGTGTGTGTGTGTGTGTGTGTGTGTGTGTGTGTTATCGGAGAAAGAACTAAAGTGAGAATATTTCACACAAACGACTTTTAATCAAAGTATATTACAAGGACGGATGATCTTAAGATCCTAAACCCAAACACTGGAAGTGCTTTTTCTGTGAAAACTTTTTGGGTTCGTCGCTTCGTTTTGAAAATATAGATAAATTAACGTCTAAATGAACAGACTGTTACAAACAATTAAAAAGAAGAAGAAAAAAAAATAGTTTTTCTTACAATATAAGTAAAGTCTTATAATATTACAAACTTTTGCTTGATTATTTCTTAAAACACTAAAAGGCGTAAGTTTGTACAAATGTAGGCTTACAATTTAATTTCGTTCTAATGTTATAGGCCTAGTTATAATTCATTTGGTGATCACTCGCGGTTGTTATTATTTGTATCATTCTTCCCTTCTATAAACAGCTGCATTTATTACACTTTTAACTGTTGTTTTATTTCTTCCCATTTTTGAAACAATATCCATAATATGTGGTCAAACTTCTCTAGGCTATTTATAAAGGCTATAGCCTACTCAACCGGCTCAAGCTTAATGCGAATTATAAAATGGAGAGCCGTCAATCATCACAAACAGGCAGTTTTGTCCGGGCTGTTGTCATTACATCACCCTGAACAAAAGCACTACAAAAGCTGACTACACTGACCATCTGAGTTCTGAGGATTTGTGTTATTACAATCCACTCCATGAAGAGTGACAAGGGGAGAGGGTTTATTCAGCAGGACCTCCTTCAAAATAACATCCACCAACAGGACAGCCTGACGACCAGACACTTTCATTAAACCCGAATCATAACTAATAATAACTGTTCTTCAAGAGTTAAGAGTCGTTCATTCTTCAGCAGAAGTTGACTATAGTGCTCGACAACACGGAAAAAGTGGAGCTAATATCCAAACAGGCTTAATGTCGGGAAAACACGCCGGAGGATTTTTTTTGTTTTGTTTGTTTTTTTCTTGTTTTCGTTCTACAATGCACGAAAGCAGATCTTATTATGTTTCAATAGCGTCCTCTTGTGGTAATATTTATATATGAAAAGGCTCATCGTAGACACTTTCAGAATATTTCCCAGCAGCACATTTACGCAGACTCTTCCATAAATTTGTTTTATTAAAAATATAGCTACACTACGCGATATAATTAGCAGCGAATACAAAATAGCCTAAATTACAAAGAGCAAACACAACAGAGAATACACAGATATAGGGGCCAAACGTATGTGAACGATTTTGAAATGCACTTTTGAAGGATGGATGCATGAATAAAAAAACAAATAGTCAATTTCAACTTCAACTTCTAAGAACGTGAGAATCTGAACACGATGCGCCATTCTAATGCAACTCTACGCTCTCTCTCTCTCTCTCTCTCTCTCTCTCTCTCTCTCTCTCTCTCTCTCTCTCTCTCTCTCTCTCTCTCTCTCTCTCTCTCTCTCTCTCTCTCTCTCTCTCTCTCTCTCTCGATCTGCATTTGAGTGCCTTAATCTGCTTATGGAAATGTGTAGAACAGCGGGGAATCTCTAACATCCCAGAGTGGCTCCTGCTTTGGCTAAATTGTTAATTGTCACAGTTTTTCACAATAGTTGTGAGAAGGTCTCTTAATGTTAACTAAAATATATTTTAATGATATCAATTGATTGGTTATGAGATGTTTTGATTTTAAAATAAATAGTTACCAAAGAAATAAAAATGAATAGATATTTAAAAGCAAAATTGGCCTAAATAGAACAATCGTAATCTGTCAAACCTGATTTGAAAAATCAGTATTAAAAAAAGATCTTAACCTAAAGCATGGGATCTAAACGGATAAATGAAAAAAACTACCAAAAATGTTTCAGTCAATTGTTTTATGTTTGCCAATATCTCACAACAAATTCAGTCCATCTTAATACATTTATATGTACACAGAAACAAACACAAAACATTCTTTGAAAGTGAGAGTTAGATTTATTCAACCATTAAGTCTTAAAATTAGAAATTAGGAGATACTAATTTGAGAGAGAGAGAGAGAGAGAGAGAGAGAGAGAGAGAGAGAGAGAGAGAGAGAGAGAGAGAGAGAGAGAGAGAGAGAGAGAGTGTGTGTGTGTGTGTGTGTGTGTGTGTGTGTGTGTGTGTGTGTGTGTGTGTTTCCTCCACTAGGGGCCGCGCTGACTGCAGATCAAAATTTGACAAATAACACACTACTTTATAGGCTTCTTCTATCAACATGATAACGGCATCCAGTTTTAATATTTCTGAAAAAAAAAACCGGGGACCGAAATCAGAAACTTAACACATTAAAACAAAAAACTAAATTAAACAATTCATCAACAAATTTTGAGCTTATTTGAAATGAATACATAGATGATAACAGATTATAACATTCATCTTTAGATTTTTTGTTGTTTTTGTAGCCTAATTTTCATGACACAATTTTGCAGTTACAAACAATTTGTGTGTGTTAATTTTAGCTACTTTATTTTAACAGACATTTAAAAAATTAAAAGCCATAAAAAAAAAAAAAAATTAAAAAAAAACCCGTTTTTCCCCCCTAAAAGTTTTCCAAACCGCCGCGAACAGTCAACAAGTAGACATCTGTGTGTGGCCAATATAAACAAATAGCTTGAATAAATAATGCAGCTGAAATTAAATCAACATTTTAAAATAATAACACGATATTTAAAGCCGTTAGAATTGCTAATTAATATCCTGTCCCGGCAGACAGACACGCACAGACCATAATACCCGAGTTACTTACAGAGTTCCTCAGTTTGAGTGACACATCCAAAGTCCCGCTTGCGTCCCGGGCGGATCCTCAGACGCGAGCCGGCGAGCAGACGCTCTTCCCCGGCGCGCTCTCCTCCAGCGCCCGCTCTCATGATCCACCAGCGTCCACTCGCGACGCTCGCCCGCCCAGAGTGCTCGCAGAGCGGCTACACTCGCCCGCCTCAGTCCCTCTACAGCTCCACACCATCTGAAAAAGGGGCCGATTGAAAAAGAAGAAGAATGCATCAAGAACAACAAAAGTCACTTATAGCAAGTCTACAAACCCCCCACCAAAACATAATGAGAAGGAGAAAGCTTTATATATATTTTTTCACTGGGTATTCAGAGATAATTTCAAGCCATTGTTTCTGGCACAGATGGCTCTTTTTAATACAATAACACTGCGAGCTCCACCAACAATAAAAATCTAAAGCCTTCTCCTGAAAAACAGTTTTTTTTGTTCGCTCTTGTAAAGGGCCAACAAAAGCAGTCGTGAGGTAATGGGCTGGCTTTTTTCAAACGCAAAGAATGGCTATTTGATAAAGATTTTACTTCAGAAAAATACACTGTCATGTCATGTATAGCCGGGGAACATTCATTGCTTCCATACATTTATCACAACAACAGCAACAAAAAAACAAACAAAAAAACACTGTAAAATACATTTAAATGTACAGTAATAATAATAATATTTCCTTTTCATAATCAATCAACACTGTAAAAAAAATATGATCAATAAGTTATGACAACATTTGTTTTTGCATTGCTTTAAACCATCAATATAAGTTAAGCACCTTTTTTTTACAAACAAACTCATTTTTTAAAGCTATTTAAGTTGAAATGACATACACATCCAAGTTGATTGCACTTAAAAATGTAATGCAGCAATTATTTTACAGTGAAGGCATTTAATGTAAAAGTTCTAAATAAGCCATGATGTAATACCTGTAAAAACAATGACAGCTACATAACCCAGCAATTTTATGGATTGACATAATCCTAATTCCTGTTCAGAAAATCAATTGTACACAGTGACAGATTCCACAACAGTGGGCATGCATTCTCTACTATTTGTCAGTATTCGGTTTGCACGTATTTGCAGTTAAATGCACGTATGAATTTGCAATTGCTCTGTCCAATTACATAATAAGATCTCCAATATCCGACAACAGAAGCTTAAACCGAAAAGGGTGCTTTGAAGCAATGATCCGGGCCACATTCGGTGTCGGTGTCACACTTGGGCTCTGGTCGGGTCAGCGCTCTTTATCAGTTTTGACAGGGCGCTGGGGTAGAAAGGAACAAGGGGAAGACAAAAGGCCTCTGCGGGGAAAGTTGTTGGTTGGTGGCTGTGTGTTTGTCTACCTTTCTATAGGAATTATGGGCCGCCTCGTCCTCCTATACCTCCGTACTGACAGTAATCCACTGCACTGACTGTGGAGGCTTTGTCTGCTCATACAACATGGTTCAGTGTTAATCTCTACGGTGCTGCTACAAAAGAAAAGCAATAATGACTTCAATCAAAATACTACCCTGACTAATGATCCTGCAAAGGTGCAGGAAAAGAGAACAGATATAATAGTAATCAAAACAAAAATAACAGTAATAGTTGATCATCCTTTTTGTCAAATAATTTTTTGGGGGGGAAAAAAACCCCTCTCTCCTTTTTAATTGGTAATAGGATTAACAGATTTACTGCCTTGCCACAGATTGCCTTATTAAACTGATCTTATGGCTACAATCAAAAGTGACGGGCTGATGTCCTCAACAACCATTAAACAAATGGCGGAAATGAGTCAAAACTTACGAATCTCCGCGTGTCTGTTCACTTCTGCATTGCAATCGTAGAATACTAATGCGTTTCAGATAGAGTCGGTCTGCATCGCTGATGTATGAATGAATGGCCGTTCATTTCCATATGCATGAGTGTGTTCTCACTGCTATTTTGTGCGCATTATGGTTACACAAGCTGAGCTTAATGGGAGGATGACACTTTAGACCCCTGTGCTCTTCCTTTAGGGCCCTGCTGAATCTGTAATCAAGGGGAAGCGTTTCAGGGTTCGAGACCTGTCAGCCCGACTGAACCTCCGTGTGAACTTCTTCAAGGGCTGAATGAACAGAGCTCCAGTGGGACTAGACCACCAGACACTCCCCATGTGCTATTAATGGACCATAATAACATTTATGTTATTAAATTAGCTTGTGACCATGTTACCCAAATTGCTTAATCTGAAAAGAAAACTGGAGTAGATTGAGTAATTCACGTACTAGGCATAAAATTGATGAAATAAAATCATTTGTGTGTGGTCTGTGCATGCAAACAGATATCAAAAATTTATGCTCTCAAAATGTCTAGCTTGCATTACAGCACAGAATCACAATAAATGTACATGGAATTATATTTTTCATTAAGAAAATTAAGCCCAGACTGTAAAAAATGTAAATATAACAAAAATTTTTAGAGTACATTTTACATGAAAATACTGCAGTCTTATGACTTAAAATGTCACATTCAAATCAGTGTTACTTGGCTTTTTTTTTTTTTTTGTAAATGTTTGTGAAATTTACTTGCAATTTCTGAGTGAAAATTGTTTCTACACCAATTTTTCAGTCAAATTTTTAGAAATTTTTAGAAATTTTTCACTTTATAAAAAAAAAAAAAAAACGTACAAATACAACCAGGTGTACAAATACTAAATTATTTATCATTTTAAATTGTTTTCTTTTTTATTACAAAAAAATGGAAATTTGACAATTGAGAAACTGGAAATTGTCATGAAAAGGCAACGATATTCATTTTAACGCATGCAAATAAAAAAATCATAAGGGTCCTAAAGGGTCATTAGGGTCACAGTTGACAAAAAATCATACTGGTCCTAAAATGATTGGTTAACAAAATATAACTTTATAAAAATAAATATAAAAAGCAAAATATATAATTTGAATGCACTTTAAGTTGCTTTGGATAAAACAGTGCCTGCTAAATGGATACATTTAAATAATGTATTGTGAAATATTACCTAGATCTGTGCCAGACAGTTTACATGAGATTCACCCAAATTGGTATGGTGGAAATTGATCATAATTCACTCGAGGCAATCCATCACCTTTCTAAATAAAATGCCAAGACAGGTTTGTTAGTCCTAAGACATGAGTTTCCACGCTTTCATGGTGACAACAATCTTCCAGATTAGTGAGGTGGAGCTCACCATGCTTAACTAGAGACCTGCAATGTTTTTACATTCACATGACAGAAAATACATGTCATTCACTGAGATTATCACTTCTCTGTGTGTGCTGCTACATAGACTAAACATCCTGAAAACAGTTGAACAGCAGGAGAACACGGTATCAAAAGTATCACAAGCACTTCCTTGAGTTAAAGGCACGAGCCAAGACCAAGTGATGAAAGCCTTGAGATTCATATACGGTCAGGAGGAAATGCAGGTGCCGTTATCTGCAGAATAACATCACAGGCTGTGGATACGGTTCAGGCTACCAGTATAGAGAGATGCTTTAGAGCTATACGTTCTACTTTATTTTGATTATATGTATGTGCTCTAAGTAGGAAAAACAAATTGAACACCTTTATTAAGGAAGATCTCAAATGTCAGATTCCCAGTACGACTACAAAGACAGTGTATAACAGGTCTGCGTGCATATTCATTTTTCTAGGTATTCTGAGTTGTCTTAGGACCTCAAGGTCTTCCTGCTTTTGAAATGTTTAATTAAATGACTTTGCCTCATCATCAGGAACATGAAATGACAGAGTGAAAACAGCTTGCCCAACCTCCAGAACAACACAGAAGTCATTATTTGAAATCACCACCTACAGCAAATAAGGTGCAAAGAACATATGGCTTATATTTACCCATCTTGTCTCGCTCCAGTTGAATTCAATTAAAAGGTGTCTGACTTGGAAATATAGAGTGCCCTGACACTAAGCTGACACACTCCGGTGCCTTATAATACACTGGATTTACCAACCAGTCTGAATAGCCATTCATTGTCTTAACACAACAAATGCAGCACTACCATCAAGGTGCGAACAACTAACCCACTGGAAACCAATGGAAATTGACGCAATAATGCTACAATGTTCTGAATGGCTGCCAGGACATTGCTATGGTGTTGCATTTTCAGGATGTTTTGGATGGTTGCTAGTTGGTTACATACTGGTCTACGGCAAAAAAGCCACATCAAGGAGTGAACAACTAACCCAATAGAAACCAATGGAACTTGCTACAATAATGCTAGATGCTTTGACAAGGCATTGCTGTGTCATTGCTTGGGTGTTCACGGTGGATGCTAGGGCATGTTCAGGGATTTATGAATGGTTTCTAGATGACTTTGTAGTGGTCTATGTCAAAAAGGCCACATCAAAGGTGTGGACAGCTAATCCAATAGAAACTGAACTTGTTGTGAAAATGGTAACATGTTCTGGATGATTCCCACTCCCAGGACATTGCTATGTGGTTCTCAATGTTTGCAAGGGGATTTTCAGGGTGTTTTCGGGTGTTGATTATAAACTAGTCTACATCAAAAGAGCCTACCCTCAAGTTCAGGACTTTTCTACGACCAGTACCTTTCCTCAACAAGCCACATAAATCAAAGTATTATTTATGTCCGTCGCACAAATTGCAGGGACAAGTTACTTGGCAAAGTTTAATACTTAGAGTCGGGGGGGTAGTTCAAAATCCCTTACCCTAAATATGAGCAATAGTAGTAGTGAGTTTGTTAGCCTAAAACACCAATAATTACTGACTCAGCAGAAGTAAGAAATACATTTCAAAATAAAACAAAAATTGGTGGACGCTTCTGAAAGAGTCTCTGAAGCCACGTGCACTGTTAATCAAAGACTATAGACACCAACACAAGAGAGAGGTGCTATCAAAAAGCCAGATATGGGCTCTGTAGCACAGAGAAAAGGTACCGAAACAGAGCTCCAGCAACCCTCATAATGAACGGATAGATAACAGAACACTTGCTCACTGTAACGGCAATAATAGATCCGTATAAATTGCACGGGGTTGCTGATGCATTGACACAGTGCTTACTAGACAGATACTCCAACAGCAGACATACCGATGGGTTTTGTTTACCGGCCAATTTGAATTCAAATAAAGCTTTGCTTTCGCTGACTGCACATCATTATCCATGAGACTATAATCCCACCAGCAAATCCTACAGCTTCCAGAGCCAGACCTTTTG